ACTTTATTGTTCGAAAAGCAATAAACTTGTCCTCTTTACACAATATTAACCATACATATGGACAGTTTTATGGAAAGTTTCAATGCATTACTGAAAAGGATTTTTAAAATATGGAGAAAAATGTATTTTGGTGCAATTCATATTTTGGGAAAAAATGGTAAAAAATATCATTTTTGGCCCAAAATTGTTACGATAATCACCACCAAGCCCATAAATGTAGTATCATCTTATAGAGAATTTAATTCCTTTTAATAATATGATACCACACACGTGGTGAAAGAAGGTTCTATTCAAACATTATCTTTAAAATTGGTTAATATTAGTTAGACATGGTGGCCATTTTGAAAAATGGCCGGCATTTTTTTTCAGCAGCATATTTTCAGGGTAGTCCACCTGGAAGGTGTTCAGGAAAGTCTCCAGAACACGTTGATACCAAACAACCTTTTACAACACCCCATGTCTGGTTGACCCCAAAAAAGGGGGTTTGCCCCCTGGGTATATCATTTATGATCTCAAATTCAATAATTCTCAAATGATTCTTGGATTGATTATGATTTGAGATTGATGTGATAAAATGGAGCATGAGTGTGCAGCACAGAAATTTCCACTTGCCAATTCACTTTGCCACTCCACTTCTGGGCGCAAAGCAGTATGGGTAATTTAAGTACCAGGTTTTTCCGGTTAGCCCCTCACAGCAGGCCATCCCAGAAACCACCGCACCGATGCATGTATGCATGTATGCATGACACATCCATAATATATGATTAAAATACGGCTGAATAGCCGAACTGGTAGAGCGTCTGGTCTGAACGTCATAAGTTCGAATCCCATTTGTTTATTTTTTATATTTTTACATTTTTCTATCTTTTTATTTTTCTATCTTTATTCATTTAACTATTTTTTCCCAATTAACGCAAAAATTTACATGATTAATTTACTACAATTTAATTAAATTTTTTTTTATTTAATTAAATTTATTAGTGTTAATTAAATTTAATTAGGGTTAGGGTTAGGGTTAGGGTTAGGATTAGGGTTACGGGTTAGGGTTAGGGAGTAGGGCGTAGGCTGCGGTGATTTCTGGGATAGGACCTGCTGTGAGGGGTGTGATATAACCTCGACCGGTTTTTCCAAATAAAGCCCACCATCTTTTTAACACGTACATGCATGTTAAAATGTCGACTTTGCGGCACTTTGTTGCCAAGCAGCGTTTTTAGAAAGCCCGTATGACAACACTGTTTTGGCTGGAGCTGCCTCTGTCAGTTAGTCCAGGCAGGTGTCGCTCGTAAATACGTCCCGCACCGCTTATTCTCAACCTTCACGCACGTTCTCGGATCGTTCGACTCATACTGTGTAACGTCACGACAAGCTGCCCTGAGTAGTAAGCACATAGCCGTGTACGCACGCGCGGACACGCACACACACTAGCTGGCTACGCATCACCTAGCTACGTAACTGGTAAGCTGCCCTGAGTAGTAAGCACATAGCCGTGCACGCACGCGCGGACACGCGCACACTAGCTGGCTACGCATCACATAGCTACGGACTGGGTTAAGCTCTTCTGTGTCAGATGCGTACCCGTGCACGCACACACCGACTGGCTACCGAACGAGGTACTGCCTAAGTACTATTTAGTTGTAATTCCCACACACATTCACACGCAACTACGAACCCAGTTTCTATGCCTAATCTTAGTCAGCCTGGGTCTGAGATGTGGGTTTTACTGATGACTAGACGACAATTTACGCTAATAATTCAATAATTTACTGGTCTTTTGCTTTTATTAGCCGTTTTCATTAGCCCCCTTTCCCCAAAATTGAAGCCAGGGGCTTTTTCCCCCACAGAAGCTACGGCCGTGGTACATGCGTTGATTTCCTTTGCTGCAGGTTACGCCGATCAAACGCAGGGTCAGGACTACAAGTCGTCCGGTTACTCCGCCGTCTCGCAGTCCCTCAGCAAGTCCGCGGGGTCGTCGTCGGGTCACGCTGGGTTCGCCAACAGCGGCAACCTCCAGGTGAACGCAGCGTCCGCCTACAGCAAGGCTCGCGCACAGGTACGCTCGTATTTTTATTTTTGTGGTGGTAGGTGGATTCGTGGATGTCTTATGCTCGGATGTTCGGATTGTGTTTGGTCGTTGACGTGATGCGGCCAGCGTTGTCGAAGTCGGCTGGACAAAGTTAGGACAGTCACAGAGAACCATGGCGACCCAGACTTCCAATTAGAGAATGGTGTTATTATTTTTCGTCTTTTGTTATTCTTCTTCTGCACTAGCTCTTTGGTAGTGCCACCTTGCTCCTCCCCCTTCACTAGCATGCATCGGTGGCGCCACCTCGCTCCTTGCTCATCGATGCTGTGCTCTTGCAGTTTGCCAACAAGGCTTTCCACGCGGGCACGGCGACCCCGTTCAACCTCGCTCAGCTGGCGAGCGCCGGCACGGCCGTGCCACTCGGCGTGCCCTCTACCGCCTACGCCGCGCCCTACGGACAGATGCTCGCCCAACACCACCCCCAGATGGCGCTGCACGGTCACCACATGCGATCGTCGGGGATCTTAAATCGCCCGATCACGAAGGGGCACACTTAGCTGAATTTAATCGCCCGCTTTTAACATGCACATGATATCAACAACACGTCCGATTGGTTTGAAAAAATTGATCGGGCGACAAAATACGCCGGACACGGGCACACGAGCGAATTTGCCCAGCGTAAATAATCGCCGCGCGTAAATAATCGCCCGAAAATATCTAACATTTTGGATACGGGCGATTCGTGCGGGCGAATAAAATCGGCGTCGACGTGAACGGCCACACGGGCGAATTTTTCGAGCGATTTAACATTCGCGGCGATCGGCCAATAAAAATCGCTCGTGTGCCCTACCTTTACGAGCGACACATCCGGTCGGACTAACTGACAGAGGCAGCTCCAGCCAAACCAATTGTTGTTATAGGCATTCTAAAAACGCTGCTTGCAACAAAGTGTGCCGCAATGCAGACATTTAAACATACATGTGTTAAAAAAATGTGAGGGCCTATTGGAACAACTTGGTACTTAAATTACCCATACTGCTTTGCGCCCAGAAGTGGAGTGGCAAAGTGAATTGGCAAGTGGAAATTTCTGTGCTGCACACTCATGCTCCATTTTATCACATCAATCTCAAATCATAATCAATCCAAGAATCATTTGAGAATTATTGAATTTGAGATCATACATTGAAGCCAAGCACGTAGTACAGGCGTCCGCTAACTGCAAGCCAACCAACATGGAGCGCCTAATTAAGTAGTGTCCATTACCTACCAAAGAAACAGTAGTTATACTCTGATTTGCATCTGGCTGATTCCAGATTAACTACAAATAGCAACGATAAAATGTGTTTATCAGCATTCTAGCCCTATTTCTGACCTAAACAACGCCAAGATCACAGGCCTATGCTGGTATCATATCGTAGCACCATAATATAGATTTAATAAAACACAAATTAGTTATTAATCTCCACTACAATTCGTCTTGTACCTATTTTTCACTCATCACACCTCAGCAATTTCACATTTCCACTTGTCCTGCCCCCACTGCAAGCATTAATGGGGGGGTCACGTCTGAGATGCTACAGTGTGGTTACACAAAAATCCGAATGATCAAGTAGTGACGCAATTACAAGCATAGGCGAGCGTAAAGGTAGATGAATTTTTACCGGTCGCCAAACGATTCCGTTCGTGTCAAATCGAAAGCTCTCTAATTGACTTAAATTTAATGTGGCCTAATTCGCAAGAGAAAATCCCTCTAAATCTAGTGTTATTTTGGGTTGATTTCAGCATTTCCCAATCGGGATTTTCGATTTTTTCCCGAAAACTTATTAGCATTTAACAAAAAAATCTGGAAATGTGTCATCTTCGCACCGTAAAAAACACACCACTGGTTCAACTTAATAGACCCTGGCAGTAATATCCGGGTGGGGGCTGGGAGGGTTAAAATCTTTAAGGACTGACGAGTCAATCAACAGTGTTCCTTAGCTAAGCTTGCTAAACAGCCCTCGGAGAGGCCACAGATAATAACTGGCGGTTGGTGGCATATACAGCATGTTTCAGTGCAAATCATTTATACAGTCATCTCCTGGTTTAAACATTTGGAATCCATGGGTAACAAACCAATAAACTGACGACGGCCAATAGGTTGTTAATAATAGAAAAAGAGGAATACTGTAAATAATCAACTAACAACGGCATATATAAGAATACAATTAATTTTGACGCAACAACTATCATGCTTAGGGTTCAACACAACACGCGGTTACACCATACAGTGAAGAAGCGCAGTCTTATCAGCACATCAGAAGGTTGTTGCATACACAGTCTATCACGTCTATGAAGAATTACAAACTAAAGGTTTAGTTATGATCCCAGCGCCGCTCGTAGAGACGGTCACAGCCAGCATACGAACAAAGCACGCACCAAGGCATACAAAACTAAAATGCTACGATGCATTCATATACAGTCCAAAACGAAAAGCTAGGCACTAAGAAGCCGATGCACATCGAATAGCACAGCGAAGTGCGCGACTAAGCAATATAAATCAGCTAATTACCTATCCAACTGATGCCTAAAAAAATAGTTAAAATTTTTCTCACTAGCCATCAGGTGCGTTTACTGTGATAAACCACTATATCCCGTACTCATCTCTACACACAACCATTTTACAAACATGCTCTCAGCGCAAACATGAATTAATCATTAAATAAATTTAATTAATAGTTAAACACTTACTCTCTCAGTTTTAGGAGTCAGCCTAAATGACAGATGACTAAAGAACTTCATAAGAATGCGTCTCTGCAGGCATTCTGCACATTAACTCTGAATACAGGTCAGTATCACTATCAGCCAACGTGACACGAGAATTTTACGTTGCATGTACTACCGCTGGTTGATGTGGTAGAGGGACACTGCGAGCCGCCCCCCCGCCGCTGTAGCCTCAACGCCGCTTCGCACAACCACCCGGACACCCCCAACCATTAGTGGCTGCTATCCTGCCGCGGTCCCTGTCATCCGTCGTCGGAACCTGGATCAACATGTCATAAATAAACCCTGGCTATAAAACAAAAATCACCAACATTGAAATAGTCAACGTTACTGATGAAGACTGAGCCGCGTGGCGGGTTCGCGGCGAGGAGGAGGTCGGCGACCGCACTGGGATTGCTGGCCTGCCATCGACCAAAGCAACCAGAACTTGCTTGAAAGGGAGTCAATCGTGGGTTTGGTGGCATTTGTTATATTGACGGTATCAAACAGCACCCCCATTCACTATGGGCAATCCGATTCCCAACAAGTCTAAATCTATGCACTGCGCGTCACGCCCCAATAAACTAAACTTCGCACAGTCTTTGCCATGCGCACATACAAACACTGCCCGTTGCTGCACACTTATAGCTTTCAAAACGCATAATACAAGTCCATGTTTCAAATTACCGCATAACGCAGTATTTTAGATGCATACGGCAGCGGTGGCTGTCGTGTGAGCTAGGTACATACCAGAGCGAATCTCGGATGCTGTAACAACTGGATGTCCTCGTAACTGTACAAGGGTGGCTGCATACCCTGAAACCAGACAACCACACTGGTAATCCATGTGTGTGGAGGCAAGGAATTCAGGGGTGCACAAAACTACGAGTCCACACACTGACCATATACACCGTCAGTCAAATACATATGGTTTATAGCAAAAAATATGCAGCATACACAATACACTAGCAGCCACCACTCCACTATGCTCATGTATTTCTTCTCCTCTCCTCTCTCCGCTCTCTCTCTCTCTCTCATATAAATTAATATATATATATATTATATAAAATATAAATAATATATATATTAATATATATTATATATATGATTAACTACTAGCTGGGAAATATAAACTTAGATAATCCCATTTCTATTTTTATGAACACACCTTTTTCTAGTTAACTTCAACGCGCAGTCGGGGCCTGTATTAAACATGCAAACTCGGTGAACCCCAGGTTCAGTCGCATGCAGACCGCACGCCTCCCACCATCCGCATCACGTCGCGCCGCTATGCGCACTGGTGTGCGACTCACGTAGATAGGCATTCGCCGCGGCAGCAGCTTGCGCTCATGATGTACGATGTCCGAGAGTTGTGGTGCCACCCTCGGAGGCGGTTGGGCGGGCTTTTACCTGAAATACATTCGACACGCTACTGTTCCCATCAATCGCAACGACGAATAAACCGCAAAAAAACGCAGCAACATACCTCTGAGATATAAGAACAGGTTGTGCATTGGTGCAAGTTTTTTCCAGTTGATTCCTGGACTTCTTTTCTATGACTGCAAGATTTCAGCCCAAGTATCAAATCGTTGCGCCTTGTATCATCCACTTAACCCAGTAGTTGACGCAACCGCTCACATGAAAACACATTTTTCTGACAAACAGACATGAGTACACCTTATAGGACCTTCGAGACCAAACATAACAATACTTGACTTCCAGGTTTCGGGGACCCGTACGAATCCTGCTAACTCTTGCCGTGACAACAAACCGCCCACTCACCGCCGGCAGAGACATCTCGTCCTGCGCGAATTTCGTCGTTATGTCGACATGAGTTGTGACGCTTCTGCTGCGGTCGCCGGCGGAGCGACGACGCTGTTGCGCGCTCTGACCGGACGCCGCGCTCGCGTCACCGCCTCCCCTCGATCCCAGCCCCGCAACCTTCCTCTGTCGGCCGACGCGCTGTCCTCGACGCGCCCGCAGTGGCGCCCCCACCTAGCTCCCCGTGGCGGCCCATACGCGCGACCGTATCCCGAGGCCGTAGCTGATCTGTAGCTGGGCGCCGTCGGACGTCGTGGGTTTCTGGTAGCCCGCCTGGTTGAACTGCGTCGCACAGGGTAGCCCGACGGTTGGCTGGGCCCACCGCGCCGGGAGTCGTTGAGTAGCTAGACCCCTGCCTGCTGCGCGCGCGCCCTGGTAGCCATCCGCTGCGCTGCTGCGCGCGGCGGCGTGCGGCGGCAAGCGGCGACGCAACCGCCCTGGTACCGAGAAGCTCGCCGCCTGACGCTGGTCATAGAGCCACGGCGCCGGCCGCGCGGCCGAGTGGTAGTGTGACCGACTGCGTCGCACGCCCGCCGGCCTGGTAT